ATATATATATATATATATATATATATATATATATGGGATTATATGCAATGAGATCTTTTATCTTTATTACAAGGTGTTTACAATCACTCATATCCATTAGATGTAAAATTGGATGGCTTGGGCTAGTCACAAAGTCTGAGAAATTTTTTTTTGAACTTTGTGTCTTTTTAATGACACTCTTACAACTACCCAATTTGAAATCTAAGAGACGAGAGTTATTGTGACATTTCTTGTACAAAAAGTAAAATGGTCTCTGTGTATACTTTTCCTATATATATACCCGTATGTCCAAATACATATTGATATATGAGTGTGTTAATAATTCTATATAGGAAAACTCTTCCCAACAACGTTTATTGGTGAAAATGAATCGTGATTTCGTCTACCGTCATCACTATTCAAACTTCATCGTACGGTCATAGTTGTCCGATAATGTTTCACTTTTTATTTTTTTATATAAATTCAAATTATTTGAAATTTGGAGTACGTGTACATCTTAGTGAGACCTATCTAATAAAAATATAAAAAAAATTATTAGTAAAATGTAAATTGATAAAAAATTACATGGCATAGTTTTGAGTTGTGCCTTATTGATTATTTAATGTTGACCACCCTTTTCAAGATAATACTTCTTTTAAGACACTCTACAATTAAAATTTTAAAATGTTGGGTTGAAATCACACGAGACATCCTCTTTTACAATGTGAAAAAGGAGGACGCATCTGACAAATATCGTTCCCATGTTGGGGATTGTCGGCGTATATCGATGCGTACGACATGGCCAAGTTGTGGAACTCAGAACAACTCTGTAATATTGTAAATTGTAAGAACTTGGGTAATGGTTGTTGGAAGTTGGAACTTGTAGTTGTCAGATCCGCTCCTCTTCGGCTGAAGAGGCCGAAGCATTCGGATTTTAGGCATAGGCTGAAGTGAAGTGAAGCTTGGTGCTGTTGTTTTGGTTAGATTTGGGCTGATTCGGTCAGATTGGGGTTTCTTGGTCAGATTCGGGTTTGTGTTGGGCTGGTTCGGCTAAAGCTTCAGCCTCTTCGGCCGAAGCAAAGAAAGTCTATAAAAAAAATATTTTTTATTATTTTTTTGTATTTTTTTCATTATTTTTAGCTTATCTTTTTTTTTTGAATATTCACTTTATAAATATTTAATTTATTTATATTAATTTTTTAAAAAAAGTTTGAAGTCTTCTCTCGAATTGGTCGAAGCACCAAATTGTTTCATTTTTCTCACCAAACCAAATAAGACTCTGAAGCATATCTGATGACAACATTGCATATAATAATTTTTTCATATAAATAAATAAAAAGGGTTTGGTTTGTATAGAGCCGAGGCTATAAACCATCAAAGTAAAACACATCTTCAAATAATATCGAGAAATGTGGTTTTAATATTGGAAATCTTTGTGATGGCTTTAAAATACGTTTTCATCTCTAATTATAAAACTTCAAGCTTAAAAATAGTGATGATCGAGTATATGTATGAAAACGTGAAAATCTTGAAAATTGACGGTCTAAAAATGCATTACAAGATATACTATTTCCAAAACTTGAGATCCATTTTCTTCTCATGGTCATGCATCGTGATGTCGAGGTGATCAATTTGATGATATCTGGGCATCAAAACAACCCCTTCTAGTGAAATTCTTGAGGTGCACTCTAATTTGATTGTTTAGAGCCTTGCACTTATATAAACGGTTTCCTTAAAAATAAAATAATATAACAAAAAAACATGTTAATGTAAAATTTACAATACAATCCATGGTTCTCTCTTACAGATTGTGCAAGGTCCTGGGCGGTGCAGAGAAGGTTGAGATTGAATGGGGGAACCATTCTCTTTCAAACAGGGTAGAAGAAACAGTGCAGGCCATTGTGGACTTTGTCAAGAGAGAAGGGCCCAAAGGGTGGGATGATCCATGGAGTTAAGTCTTATCTTTTTGTTTTGTATTTCTATTTTTTCTCTTGTTCCATTTTGTTTACAAAATTCATGTGTTTGTTTCCTCTTTCTTCAGTAATTTTTTTTAATGAATTCATGTGATGTAGCTGGTACACATTAATTGGTCATATTTGTTGGGACCTGTCTCATTTCTTTTTTTATTATTAAAATTTGAGATTGTTCCCTTGAAAAGCATTGCAGCATAGTCTTTATTGATTATTATGATCATCGATCTCAAGTGCAGTAATTATTAAGGTAAATTTAAGTGACTCCCCTATATTTATTGAAATTTAAAAATATCCCCAATCTTTTGTATTTTATGCTCAATTTAATCTTTATAATATGTATTATATTTATAAGATGAACTCAAATCTTTTGTGTTTATACTTCTCAACATCATGCATATGTAAAAAAGTTTTACAAATAATTAAATAGAAATAAAATTACCAAAATATATAATTTATTTAAAATTATTATTTTTATATTTGTTTCTACAGATGCATCATGGTAAGAAGTATGAACCTACAAAATTTGTCAATCCAATGTATAGAAAAGAATATAAAATTGGAATATTAGTGTGCTCTTAAAAAATAAGACATGAATGTAAAATATAAAATATAAAGGATGTTTTTAAATCTAAAAAAATATAAGGTATATTAATGTAAAGGAAAAGTATACAAAAAGACTATGTAGTTTTGGAAATTTGTTTCATGTGGTGGGGGCCACATTTCTACATTTGTGGTTCCAAAGTTATAAAGCATCCATCTTAAAGGTCGATGCAAACATGTGGTCTATCTAAAAATAATTGAAACTAGCGGTCTTAATGTTTCTTAATAAAAATATTATTTTTAATTTTTAAAATTTATTTATTTATTCGTCTTCATGACCTCTAGGTTAGATATTACATGTCTTTAAAAATTAGGTCAAAAAATCCATCTCAAAAATAGATTTTTAAGAGGTGAGTCATTTCTACATGGACTTATATAAACCGTATCGTTTGGTTTTAATACAAGGAGGTCATATTCACTATTGGTTGTAGGATTTTAAGTCAAATGGTTAGTGTGTTGTTGCCTAACTCAAAATTTTTAAAAAATTTTCGAACTTTATAACACATTTCAAGCTATCCAATTCCAATTTGATACGTGGTTAGTACTTGTGATTGACTCAAACGTAAATCTCCGAATTATCAATTGTCATGGGAAAAGGGTTATATAAGCTACGGGACTCATACAGTATCAAAAGCCACTTTGGATGGTTGGTGTTCATTTGGTCCAATTTTTGTATGCATATCTCCTGTCTCTCTAGAGGTTTCTTCTCTAACGGGAGCAAAGTGGAAAGGGCTTGAGAGTCTTAGGGTTGGTAATAGGCGGGGCGACTTGGCCCGAGGAACAAATTTCGGCTTGACAGCATCCTAGGCTTTCTTTTTAATTTATTTTTTACAAAAATTTCATTTGGTGCAACTTAACTCGGACCGAACTAGGTCATGGCCGGATGAGCCACCTAGTCCTAGGCTAGGCTTGGCTTGGCTTGGAGGTCTATTGGCCAAGGCTGGGCCTAAGAGCTGAGGCAGTCCTGGCCAAGCAAAGGCCTCAACGTTTCTATCATTTTTTGTGGATTTTGGAAGATTCCCCTCTTTGTTTTGTCCTTTTCTACAAAAGATGAGTGTTTTTAGGGCACGGTTTGTATAAGCCCAAGTCTCTAAACAATCAAAGTAACGTGCACCTTCAAATAGTGCGGAAAAATGTGATTTCAATACTTGAAATCTTTGTGATAGTTTTAAAATATATTTTCAATCTCTAAGTATAAAATTTAATACATTATTTTTCGTAAACTTTTTCTTTCTAAATTTACTTAATCTCAATACTCTTTTTAAGTCTAAGATTGGGTGACGTTTGGATGGTCCACGATATTGTTTTTTTTGCTGCAATACGTTGTACCCGCCTACAAAAAAAACAAATCCTCACGCTCTCATGTGTTTGGATATCCACTTGGGACCACAAAGGATCCCTTAATACGATATCTCTCTCTCTCTTCTCTAAATCCAGTGAAAAAGCATCATTTATCATAGTCGTCAAGTCCCAAGTCCGACTGGCTGCTTTGACTGCAACGCATGCCTAGGCTAAGTCTATACAGAGTTAAAATTAGGTTTGGTACAAAAACCAAAAGTCCAAAATCAAGTTTGACACGTTCTGGTTGTTTAAACCCGTCAAATCCACCAAACAAAGTTGAATAACTTAATTTAGCATACTGTTAAATTATTATTTATAAATTATTATTTCTATATTTTAAAGGGTTATGTTTCGGATTCGAGAGAATCTGAATTTAACCAATTTAATCTACATTGAATCTAGACCGATCTGACGGTCTCGACTGTATTTTATAACATAATTTTAATATTTTTCTACAAATCCAAATCATGTAAATTTTAGATATTCACTATTCTCATCAAAGCGCAACTAATAAATATATTAAAAATAATAATTCACAAAAAATAAATT